ACGCATGCATACCCTGGGAAACTAATTTTGTAGGGCCACGTACACACCCACTGCGGGACTAATTTGGTATACCAAGCGTCCACATCCACTGCAGGATTAAATTCGTGTACCACGCATCCGCACCCACTCGGGGATTAATTTAGTATGCTACGCATCACACCCACGGGGGGAATTAAATTGGTATACCACCCACACCCACTGGGGTATTACTTTGGTATACCACGCATCCACCCACAGGAGAATTAACAACTTTTAAGATTTGATAATTGCATATGATTTTATGCATTTAAGTTCACAAATCACTAAAAATAATTAAATAAATAAATTTTTAAAAACAAACTTAGGTGAAGGACGCGCTTAAAATATTAAAACAAGAAGCATTAAAAAATGTCATAATATCGTTTAATATTTATTAACCTTTACTTCACCATGGGCCCAACTAATACAGGAGAAAAGCTATACCTTCAGGCATTTGGAACAATTATTCGAAATACGTAGTATTTATATATTAAACTTGCAAGATTTGATTGTTTATCTTTCAATAAATCGCGACACCTGTTATAGAGGAAATTTGTTCATGTTCTGACATATTTTAGTAACTCCCCCTGTAACGGTGCACTTATTTGTTAATCAAGTCGTTAGTTTAGTTACATTTATTGTTAATTATCATGAAAAAGTTGGGCCCACGGTGAAGTAAAAGTTAATAAATATTAAACGATATTATGACATTTTTTAATGCTTCTTGTTTTAATATTTTAAGCGCGTCCTTCACCTAAGTTTGTTTTTAAAAATTTATTTATTTTCTCCATGAGAAAATATTTATTCCCATTATTTTTAATCTATTTTTCTTAGTGAGGCAAATACCTAGCAACAAAAAATTACTGACAATGGAGGTCTCCCAACGTATGCTCACAGATTTGGACGAAATTAGTGTCAATCGATCACAAATATAATTAGTATGAAATTTGCAAATGGAACTATCTGCCAATGCCCAGGTTTGGCGGAGATATTTACATTCAACAGGAGAAAACGCACCAAAAGGCTGGCATATTTTTCATTTTCCAAATTTCCTGCGCATTTTTTCTGCTTTTTATGCAAATATCTCCGCCAAACCTGCGCATTGGCAGATAGTTCCATTTGCAAATTTCATACTAATTATATTTGTGATCGATTGACACTAGTTTGGTCCAAATCTGTGAGCATACGTTGGGAGACCTCCATTGTAAGTATGCATTTGATCCTCCCCAAAAAAGTGACCGCCGACGATATCTCAGTCATTTCGCAACCGATTTAGATGAAATTTTGCACCGATCATTGTTAGATAATTTCAAAACGATGTGCGAGTCGCCTTTTGGAATATTTATTTTTTGAGAGAGTTATGGGCAAAAATACGCGAAAATTTGCCCCTTACTGAACATTTCTTTTCATAGTTCATTAATGGATCATTCAAACATGTTCCCTTATTGAAAACATTGTGCACATGCAAAGTCATTCCGGTTATTTTAAGTCCAAGATTATCCAAATCCGTTTAGAACTCAGAAAGTTATTCAAATTTGAAATCTAAAAAATTGCCATTTTTTAGCGACCTGGCAACAAAAATTACATATTGTGTGCATTGACCCCACCCCAAAAACTGACAGAAATAATTCAATATCTCAGTCATTTCTCAACCGATTTTGATGACATTTTGCACCGATTATTCTTATGAAATTTAGAAATGACATTCAAACCGATTTGGTGAATTTATGATCCGGATGATCAAAATCGGTTAAGAACTCGAGAGATTATTAAATTTAGAAAACCTTCAAATTTTTGCAGCGACGCAAAGCATTAATGTTGTTGACAATAAATCTTCTAATCAACTCTAGCTTTAAGGAATGTATGGTGCTTATTAATAAATATATGAAGAACTCAACTACAAGTATTAAATAAACAAGGCCCCAAAAAAGAGAAATCTTAGTGAGGCTTGGTGCGACTACAACTAATAAATAAAATTAGATTGCAGAATTTTTGCATCACCGCTCTCTGTACCATTCTTACTGGATCCAATATAAATTTTGTTTTGCATAAACATGCATTTATACATTTATTGAATTAATTGGACGAAAGACGAAGAAGGCGTTTTCACTAGTGAATGAGAAGTTTGGTAAATTAGCTGGGAACAAATATAATGGGTAAACAATTGAGAACTACGAATCTTTAAGTTTAAGATGCAAACAGTTGCAAATATGCTACAAAAGTTGCAAATATTTAATTTTAATATTTTCTGGATAATCCTATAATCTGGATATCCTGTTAATTCTTATTCTCATGAAATTACAAGAATGTTTGAGGGGAGCCATTTATTCCAAATGATTCCTTAATGCTTCCAGTAAAGAACGGTACAGAGAGCGGTGATGCAAAAATTCTGCAATCTAATTTTATTTATTAGTTGTAGTCGCACCAAGCCTCACTAAGATTTCCCTTTTTTGGGGCCTTGTTTATATATAATATAAAATAGATTAAAAATAATGAGTAAAGGCCAAATATTTAGAATTTTCTTCAATGAGAGAATAAATATAAATTACATTTATTCTCTCATTGAAGAAAATTCTATAGAATTTTCAAGGGTATACCCTTGTAACTTTGTAAACCTAAAAATTATCGATTTTTTGTGCAATAAAACCCTCATACTTTAAAAAAACTCACGGAGAGATGAATAGGTTTCAAAATCGCCATTTGAATATATGGAGGAATGGAAAGTTAAGACAACAATTCAAACTCAAAACATGCATACAATGCCACCTTAACTCCCTTGCTCAATATAGGACAACACAAATTTGTAAAAAAGTAAATAGTAAACGAAAACAGGATGAAACTAGTAATCCCTCTCTACCCCAAAAAATATGTGGTCCACACCAACTTACTTCGAGGGGGGTGGTTAGACCCCAAAAGTCGTTACGATCCTCCCCTTGAGGTCATACATCTGATTCGGTCTCGATTATCTCGATGCCTTCTCCAGTTATCCTGCTTATATATGTACTCCCGTATTAATCTTCACTTTGTGAGAATTACCTACCAATTATCTTAGCGCATGATTTGCTTTGTTTTACGCAATGCACCTTTAGAAATCCAGCATTTAAATAATATCAAGCAGTATATTCCTGTCTCTACCAAAGTGGTACTGATAAGTGATACGGTGTAGGAGTAGCTCGGTATTACAATTTTACCATATTAATAGCAAATTTTTACTTTAAGTTAATTTTTACTTTTTAAGTTATTTTCCCCCCTTTCTGGGGTACAATTCTCGTCTGCCAGGTTACTTACATAAAGATGCATGTCAATGCGAATTCTACTTACAATTACAACGACTGTACAGAGTGTCCAATAAGATTATAATCAGGCTGAAATCTCGACTAGAATTATACGAAAATTATACATATTTATATATCACCACTGTATGTATTAATTAATAAAACCAAAATAGGAATATTCAGTGTTGCCAAAAGGAGCTAAATAAACTAAGGATGAAGTTGTCCTTAAATAAACTACCAATTGGTACTTGCAAAATTAAATTTTTAGCATTTTTCTACTCCTACACTCTTAGCAACTTGGTAAAGAATTCCTAATAAGCGTCTTTACCGAGCTCTTGGTAATTACGCGTCCTACAAAAATTATACGGGATTATTACCGTATCAATACCAAACGGGTAACTAGCCATCCACCGGAATATTTTAAGCTATCTTTATAATTTTGGTAATAAATTTCTACCAGCCGGTAATTATATCCTTCAAATTTAGAAAACACTCTTTGGTGTGTCAAACAAGGTGGCTCAAAACTGACAAATTACCAATTTTTTATTCCTTCGAAATTTATATCATTATATTTTAAATTTGTTTGGTAGTCGAAAAATGCTTACATATAAACAATGCAGTTTCCCACAAGCACATGACGATCTGTAGTCAGCCATACCCCAACTCATCTTAAACTCAGTGAACAGCTCGTTGGCAACACTAGAAACTTGTCACCTGATAAAACGTTTTTGAACTACCCCAAATTTTTAAACGCGCATACACAAGGTGGGAAAAACCATTTACAGCAACTTGAGTGGTTTAGGTAAGGCCGATAAGTGGATCACGGATAACGAAAAATAACTCTTAATCTATGAACATTTCGGTATGTTTTGTTGTTGGAAACAAGTATAGCTTGTATTGGTATCTATCTAATTACTCAGTAATCAGTAGGCAGGAGATCCCAACATTCCGCATCTTATTTTAACTCAAGCAGAACACAACATCCGTCGCGCTACAAGTACCCAAACTAGTCCGTCGGATTAAATAATTTATGTATATAATTTTAAACCCATCAGCACTAATTGACATGATGTAAGCAACATTATTATCTTGAGCGAATTATGTTGCATTTATTTTCCTTACATATATTTAGACCAGGAAAGGGTAGGGAATTTATAAAATTTTACACGCAAGACTGTTGGTAAAGAGTAATTGTGTAGGATAAATTTAATTTAGTGTACGAAATTTCCAACTGTGCAATCTCATCACACCGTCGACTACATCACTATTTGACAAGGACAAAAAAATAGTTTCACTTTAATATTCCTGTTATATGTATGATAGTGCAAAGTGCACTACTCCATAACTAATTAATGAACTCATTAATAAGTGTAGTGCAATTAGATATGGTGTTCCATATCTGATATGTATGACATCCATGTTCATCCATGTTCATGTGACATCCATGTTCCATATATATGTGAGTCAAGGTTATGCATAAATATATATATATGTTACTTAAAAATGTGATGCCTTTGTTATCGCTTCAATCCTTTACAGGGAAGTAAAAAGAAATTGTGCATAAATATACAGAGCTTAAGCAAAGTTCAGATTATTCTGCAATCTGATTTACTCAGAGCAACAAACTCAGCAAATTCAGAGAATCTTTCCAGCACCACATTTTACTTCGGGTTCGAGAATTGGACATTCAATATGCTCACGCATACAATGACATCGGAAACGGCGAGGGAGGAACCGGTTGCAATTGTTGGGGTAGCGTTTCGCTTACCAGGAGCGAACGATGGAGCCACATTGTGGAAAAATCTAATGAGCAGGACCGACTCGGTGGGCGTGGTCCAATCGAGTAGATGGGCAATTGAGAAAGGTTGTCGTGGGCTCAAGGATGAGGAAAAATCTGTTCGAGCTGGCTTCATTGATATCGACGTGGACAAATTTGACTCAACTTTTTGGGGATTGTCGCCACTCGAGTTAGGTTTCATTGATCCGCAGGCACGGCTCCTGCTGCAGTTAAGCTGGGAGGTGAGTTATTAAGCATTTAATATAACTACATGTGTTTGATAAAACTTTATTATATTTGCTAAAAATTTGGAGTAGACAATCCTTTTGCAGAATTTGGTCATTTTAATTCCTTAAACTCAGTCCTAATTACCTTTAGTTCCAGTGCATGTTGAGTCAAGTGTTTATATATCTATGTATATCCAGGCTCTGGAGAACGCAGGAATTCCATCAAAATCACTTCGTGGAACTGCGGCTTCTGTGCTTGTTGGCACTTGGAGGGATGAGTATAAGGACCTCATCTTGACTGCTGGCACAACTGAAGGAGGGGAGGAGGTACGCCGTTACCTTGGATGCTCAACCGGGAACTCGGCGGCAAGGATTGCTCAATTTTTTGGGACAATAGGTCCAACCGAAGGGATTGAAGCTGGATGTTCGGCATCCTCATGCGCAATAGGTGCTGCAGTGCGACATTTGCGAGCAAAAAGGACCAACTTGGCCCTTGCTGGTGGAGCAAATCTCATCCTGAAGCCCTTCAAGTATCAGGATTTTCAGGTACAAATTGATACTTAATGATGAATTACGTTTCATGTCTCGCCTTAGAAAAATATCAGTGATGTTAGTATTTTGCACAAAATTTGACGGACCTCCAAGTAGCCATTTGGCTATGCTCGAATTTATGACCAATATTTCTGTCATCTATAGGCATAAATTTTCCATGTCACTTTCACGGGAGCAATTGGATGGTCTTGAGTTGAAAAACTAGTTCTAACAATAAAAAGTCATATTTCATTCATAACCGACGTATGGAGATGAGATACAGGTAAATAAGTGTTCTCTCCTCGCTGTCGTAGGCGTGGTTGGAGTGATGTGAGACTGAAGCTACTGCTGTATGTGCTTTTTGCGACGAAGGGGTGAAAGCCCTTCATAAGATCGTTATGTCCATTCATTGGTCCGATAACTTTTGAGCGAAATGACATGGAGACTTGAAATTTTGAACGTCAGTTCCTAACGTCAAGGGACAGGACGAGTTCGAAGATAGAAACCGTATGTAAGTCACACCCAAGGTCAAAAGGTAATGTCATTTAAAGGTCAAATTGCATATATACATCAATTTGAACAGAAATTTAAGCCCGAATTCAATGGTGACCTCAATTTTGGCCTCAAACGGCACCAAAGGTCATCAACTGTTAAATTTGATAGATATAGTCACAATTGTTGAAAGCACGTCAGACATATCAATTTTAACAGATTTCGAACGGCAAACACAATATAGTGTTCAGTTTGACGGATAGCACGTTGCTTTCACCCCTTTACATTTGTTACATTTGTTGTAACGGTTTATTTTTACCAAAACTTCAGACTTTCAACACACTTTTCTTGACATTTACGTATATTACAGTAGTTCCTGTTAATACGAATCAACTTGCTAGTACAAAAAATTTGAACCAGAATTTCAGTCAACACTGCCAAAATTTGTTTTTTTATTTTTTCAAAAAGTAATTTTAATATATAGGCCTATATATTTATAAAAATCCGGATTTTTATAAAGGAGTTATAGTTGCTCGATATATTGCATGAAATATTTAAGTCCTTACATAAACAACAGTTATGTTGAGAATATTTTGTATTGGTTTGAATTGGAAAAGTTGAAAAGAAATCGTAGCTAAAAGCTAACCAAGAAATGTATTTATAATCTATTTTGAAGCCCCCTCCATTGCTTGTTTCAGAAGCTGGATAATTTCTGACATGGTGACACTCACCTACTTCTACTACGACGTTATAAAGTCTGTGGAGTCTGTTTTTCAGCTCAATTCGCATCAATGAGTCCATCCCAATGTCCCTCAAAACTGCACCATTGAGCTTATTTGGATCGCTGATACGTAACATTTTAGCCACTAGTTTGAATACAGTTTCCTTTAGATTTCCGGGAAGGAGTTCGGAACGGTCTTGGCGATCTGTGACTTTCAAATCTGCAGCCGCTACGCGGGCAACAGTTTCAACATAGTGTCCTAACCAGGAAGTTTTAACATCTCCGCTAAGTTCGGCTGCCATGACGTTGCTGCCAAGCATGACTGAATTTCGGAGAATGTGTTCCATCGTATTGATCCCACTTACAGTAGAAAATGGCTTGAGGCCCAAAACAGTCCTCTTCAAGTCTCGCACCATCCCAATCTCGCCCCACCGCCCCCAGGCGATGCTAATTGCTTTAAGACCTAGGCGGTGTCTGAAATCAGCTAGAGACGCGAGGGCAGCATTCGCAGCCGAGTAGTTTGCTTGTCCAGGGCCCCCAAGAATCCAATTGGCTGACGAAAAAAGTACAAAATGCTCCAGATTCAGGCGAGACGTCGCGGCATGAAGAGTAAATGCGCCAGCCACCTTCCCTGCCCACACAGTTTCCAACTTTTCCATGGTCATATTAGGGATGGTCGCATCAGCAAGAACGCCTGCTAGGTGAAAAACACCCCTAAGGGGCGGCATATTTAGGCAATAAATTTTTTCAAGTATCTCATTCACCCCCGCTTGTGTAGAAATGTCCCCATATTCCACGATCACGCCATTTAACTCGTCCTTAGCGTAGCGGACGTATGCATCACGGTTGTCCAGTTTTGACAATACAGCTTCCTTCCCTTCATGCCGTCTGCTTACTAGGACGATGTGTTTTGCTCCATTCAATAACATAAATTTAGTTAGCTCAATCCCCAGTCCGCCACACCCTCCTGTAACCAAATATGTGCTATGTTGATTGAAAATATCTTTCGTCTTTTCCACTTTTCCTATATGGGCCGCCCTCTGCAGGTGCTTAAGGGCAGAAATTACTGTTGGAGGTTCAAAAACCGAGTAAGCTAAGGGCGTGAGCTTCCCGTTGGCCAATCAACTTTGCAATTCGCGTGCTAGATATACTGAACGAGAGTCGTCGCAAACGCTGAGGTCTACTATCAAATATTTCACATCTGGACGGAGTTGATCAACCTCAATTTGGCTCCATATATTTAATTTGCTCATCTCTATGAATCTTCCGCCTATTCTGGTCATAGACATTGAAGCTTCTTTCCACCCTTTCGATGTAAGTGAGTTGAGGACGACGTGGACTCCAGCGTTCCCTGTTGCGCTACGAACTCCTTCTAGAAAACTGGAAATATCCCTGCTACTTGTGACATTTGTCAATCCGATAACGTGGGTCAAGTAGGCCCGTTTCCTCCGGCTCCCAGCCGTGCAAATAATATTGGCCCCGATTTCCCGTGCGATCTGAATAGCTACAAGACCCACGCTTCCAGAGGCGGTGTGAATCAAGACCCATTCTCCTCGACTCAAGTTACCTACGGTTACAAGACAGTGGTACGCCGTGTAAAATGCGGTCGGCAGAGTGGCTCCCTCAATATGGGTCATCCGAGGGGGAAGTTGCACCACATGGGATGCATTAATTATAACAACGTTGGGAAGTGGGGCTGGTTCCATGTTCATTGCGAGCACGTTTGCTCCGATGCGTAAACCACGAACAGCCGATCCCACTCCAATTACTTCCCCGGAAATATCTGCTCCTATGGTAGACGCTGATGCAAATTCCAGCGTAGGCTTAATGATGTTTAAAATATCCTTAAAGTTTATCGCTGATGCATGAACCCTGATTTCAACCTATTGAAGCAGGATATACATAAAATATTTGCATTTTAGGTAAGTATGTAACTTCAATATTTCCTGTTTTCTAATCCTACCTGATTTGCATTTAAGGCTGGGGAGGCCCCAATTATAGTAGAATTATCCCATTGTAGGTCTTCGATGGCGCAAGATTTCGGAAGTTTTAATTTGATAGGGTTTTCTGTTTGGGGAAGCGTAAGCATGGTATGATGGGACACGAGTGGAACAAATTTTCCCACATAGCGAACTCCGTCTCGATAGGTTACAAATGAGTCCTCCTTACGGCTTCGTAGTTTTTGTCTATTTCTGATTTCCATAATTGTTTCGTTGACCCGCTGCGTCGTGTCTGAATTGGTATCAAGGTCTACCCATACGATATCCAATGCTAGCATTTCGTTTGCCAGAGACCGTGCGAAACCACGTATTGGGCCAGCAACTGGATCACGGGCTTTCTTCATCTTGCACAGGCATGAGACCGTGGCTTAAAAGAAAGAGTTCCGCCTTCCCAACCAATAATAAGACTCGAGCAAAATCAAGGAAGTGATTTAATTGTATTCTCGCCTGATCCTCCTGTAGGGCACAATCGTCGTGGGTATGTGGAAAGCAATATACAATCCTGGCATTCGGTTGGATTATAAATTCTTTGTCATTAATATTGCAGAATGTCGCATTTCCATTACTTGCTTTTAGTTGGTTGGCAAACTCATCGTCACCACGTGTGACAATTATGTGGAAAGGTAATGGTACATCTTCCTTCGTAGCAACAATTATTCCAACATCGAAATATTTGTTTTCCACAATTGATACATCTCCATACCCAGCGGATTGAAGAACTAACTTCCATGCTTCTCCGTCAATTAAAGAATGAGCTGACCGTATATCGTCATTGCAAAGCCAGTATCCTTTACAGTGCCCGAAGATGACATCAGAAATTGCAGAGGGCCGCAATTGTTCGGCGACGAATATATTTCCATCAGGTCCGAGCAGCATGTTCAGGTTGCCAACCACTTTGCCTAGATCAGTGGTTGCATGCAAGACGTTCACGGCAACAATCATGTCAAATGTCCCCTTTTCGAATCCCTGGGCAACAATATCTTTTTCCAAATCTAGGATGCGAAAGTCTATCTGCACCCCAGGAACATGGGGTAGGGAATCTTCTGCTCGATTGAGGAAATTTGTTGAGATGTCAGTGAAGGTATAAGTGGACGAGGTGCCCTGCAAATGTTGCAGCAGTTTGCGTGTTGCTGAACCAGTACCCGCCCCTACCTCTAAAATACGCAGTCCCTTAACTCCATCCCGGATCAAAGAGGCGAAGACGCCGATTAAATTATCTGTAAGAATGGCAGACTGTACGGTGGTGCCGTAAAACCTTTCCGCTGAGAAGTTATCGGTTTCACCTGTTTGGTTATCAACTCTACTGGGTAGTTCCAACAAAGATGGAGGAAAAAGGTGCGGAAGAATGGATTCTGATCCGCGAAGAAATTTTTCAAGCTTAGAAATGTAAAATTTTGCGAATGCCCAGTCATCAACTAAGATTTTGTCATGCTGCGTAAAATCCTTCTCTGTTATATCAATATCCAAATAAGGTAATACGACGTATTCTGTTGAGGACACTTCCTTTAGCAGCCCTGCCTGACTAGCATAGTGAAGCAGCCTTGCCAAGAAAGCTTGGGCAATATGATTTAATCTGAGTCTTGATGAAATTTCGCATCCTGTGACCCTTTCACCACGTGCGAAAGAGCAAGAAAACCCAAGAGTTCTAAATGTTTCTGGGCATGAGAACTGACTGAATATGTATTACCATTCGGCTGGTCATCACTCTCACAGTCAGTTGTCCTGCAGTTAAGATATATCTGAACAAAAATTTTTAAAACCAAAAAAATGGCGTGTTCCCAAGTTTTTAACTGGACCAGTGATGCTGATTCCTCTCTCTCTGAGGAAAATTCTCCCAAATCTAAGAAACCCAGGCGTAGGTGCGAGTGGTCTGTTCTTCGTCAATTTGAAAATAAAAAAGAGGCCGAGGCTTATTTAAAAGAAGAGGGACAATGGATTTATCACTGTAAATATTCTACTGAAGAAGGGGTAACAATGAAGTACAATTGTCGATCTTCCTCTGCATGTTCTGCCAAACGGAGACTAATTTTGAAGGCCGTATCTTCCATTGTCGAACTTCACGCCACCATAGAACAGCATGACCATGCTTTAAAAAAGCAAAAAGGTACTTTAGATTCCACGCTCTTCATGTATATGCATTTTAAAGTTGAGTAACGAAAGTTTAATGTTATCTTAGGCATCAGCCAGAATATGAAAGACGAAATTGTCAAACTATTGGAGAGAGGGATTACTAAACCAAAAATGATTCTCACCGAGTTACGTAAGATCAATGAAACAAACCCGACCACAACCCAACTAAAAAATTTTTTGGCGTATTATCGGTCACAAATCCATCCCCCAATCGTTTCCCTTGGAGCTCTCCAGGCACTGGCAGAAAACCATTCCCAGATCCCAAGTACCCTTGATCAACCATTCGTAGTCCACTCAATGTTTAATTATGAAGATAAAAGTTTTGGAATACTGGTATCAACTCTAAGACTTTTGACAATTACTCAGATGACTCGGCTGATTCACACCGACGCAACTTACAAGTTAAATTGGGAGGGGTTTCCTGTGCTAGTAGTAAGGGTATCTGACAAAAACCGAACTTTTCACCCAACCGCTATTGCTGTTACTGTTGGAGAGACATCAACCAATGCTTGGATTAAGCAGCAAGGCACCTTCAGGGCAAGGTTGCCAATGGGGGAGTTCATTTCCTTCATGTTAAGCCAAACCAAAGATTGGTCGGAGCAGAGGGACCCAATACATGAGAACCATAAAACTTTTGCAAAAGTTCCCATTATTTCACTCAGGCTGGAGACCGATGCTTTCAATTGGAACAAATCAAAACCAAGCACAAGGTATAAGACACCTGAAGATGAACTTAATATTAGGCATTATTTCGTCGCTGCTTCAGGTCAACCTCCTTTGAAGGAGGACGATGTTAAAAAGTACTTGCGAATGAATACGAACAAATCTTGGAGAACTTTCGACTCGTACTTGGCCAGCACCACGAGATTATGGATGGTTAAATTCCACACCAATCAAATGTGGACTAATTCCACATGTGGACTAATTCCACATGTTCTTGTCCCGTTTACTTAAAAGAACATGTTTGTAAGCATATACTTGGTTTAGCAATTCAGAATACGTTTTATGATGTTCGACCGGAAGCCAAAACCGTTCCATTGGGTGAAAAGCGTAAAAGGGGTAGGGTTGCGAAAGCTAAAAAAGCGCTCATTGTTATTTAATTTCAGGTGTATTTAAAAAAAGACGTCAAAGATTATAAATAAACCAATCCTATTGTAAATTAAATTTTGTTTTTATAATTCTGTACCCATGAAATACGTTACTGGCAGGTCATCTAATTTTGTGGTAACCACCATCGTAATATATGGTTAAAAAGGCCAAAATTGGAAAAAATTCATCCGGTGGCGAATTCAGCCAAAATTTATGGTAAATTTCAGCTTATTCGGTGGTGCATTAAATTTAACCCATGTTTCTGCAACCTTCCTCCCTAGATATGATGCAATTCGCTTATACTCTTGAATTTCCGTAGCAGTCCGTGTGATTGTAGTAAATGAGGAAAGCTGCCCCTTTAGAAGTTTTGCCTTGGTACAGGCAGGGTTAGGCTGGTTTTCTGTAGTCCATTTCTCTATAAACAGAGGTAACAGTCTGTTCTCCTCCTTATTCTCAGGTCGACTTCCGTTACATGTGCTCATAATTTGAATCGTTTCTACCGTTGTGCTTAGCGTGGTGATGTTGGTAATGGATGCATGGGCACGCCAAATTGAGTCGTTTCCTTGGATAAACAACGTGCTGGAATTCAGTCCAGCCTGGACTCGAAGCTTCTTATGCTTTGTTGGTTCGAAATTTTCATTAGCCAGTACTTCTACTGCGGAAATTGCAACTGGCACCCTCAAGCTTAACAATGGATTTGATTGGGCAAGTAGTGCGGCCTGTATTAAAGCGTCCAATACTGTGGGATGAACCGTGAAGCTTCCGATTTCAGCTTGATCAAATATTGGTGGTATTATGTGTGCTGTTATTATACAACTTGAGCGGCGGTTGGAACACTTTAAATTTAGGGATCTGAATCGTGGACCAAATTTATATCCCAAGTCGGACATCTCAATGTAAGGTGATAGCATTGATTCACCATCATAGTTATCCAGATATATTTCTTTTTTTGTCGTGCTAATATCTGATAGAATTACCTTGCCATTTAATGAAGCGTGTAACTCCCACGCACTGTCTGCATTATTCCGTCGACTTGATATGGAAATAATATACTTTTCTCCGTCGTACACCACATTTTTTTGTACGTCCGACTTCATATCCAGGGATAAAACCGTTTTAATGTCGACTTGGGATAACTTGATTCCACAAATCTTTTCACTTGCTTGCTAAGAATTTTCGTCACCGCAAAACCCATCTCTATATATCCAGCGGCAGGGTATATATTGTGGGCCCCGACCTTATGATCTCGCAGCCAGCTTCCAGCCCTCTCCAGCAGGGCATCCGTCGATGTTATAAAGGTTGATGTATGCTTCATTACACCACATTGCGGAAAAGAGATAATTGAGCCCAATAATGGGTGAATAATTTTATCTTTGCATCTTACTCCCATGTCACCGATATTTGAACTAATTGATGGGTTGAACCAAAAGGGACCTTCATTTTGGAATGGATATGTAGGTAGAAGCTGAGGCACATTTTTTTGTAACACATGATCTCCAACCAAATTGATCCAAATTTTTTTCCAGTCAAGTTCGACGCGATTAAGGTACATAGTCGAGATGGCGCTTAATAGGGTTGTCCAATTTGGGACATTCCTCCTGAGCGAAGGTATAGTGACGACATCAGCGCCAGGACAGTTTTCTTCAATCAATGAGGAGAGGATTGGGTGGGGACTAACTTCTAGAAATAATCTTCCTCCTATAGCTGAAGTTGCAAAAATAGCAGACTTAATAAATTTCACTGGTTGCTTGAAGCATTCTGACCAATAGGAAGGATCCAACGCTTCATAATCATATAACTTCCTTCCGTACATCGAGGAGATATACTGTAAACTTTGATTAGGCGTAGAAAATGCTAATTCCTCTAGGTCACTTTTGAATGCTGTCGAAACATGCTCAAATGATCTCGAGTGGTAAGCATGATCAACGTATTTAGAAAAAGTGGATTTTGTGTTATAATTTGTCATGACGAAGGTGGCAAATTTGTGTATGGTTTCTGTCGGACCCGACACCACTGTCTGGCTGGGTGAGTTAATCGCTGAAATATCTATCCAAGCTTCCCCATCCTGTATTTCTTTGTATATTCATAAATCATGCTACATGTCTTTGACTCGTCAGCCATTAGAACGGCCATCTGCCCTGGCCCCATTTCATCCATCACATTTTGTCGTAGTGACGCGATCAATCGCACTGCGGTAGCAAGACTTAGCACACCACAAGCTGTAGCGGCGGCTACTTCTCCTAATGAGTGGCCAACAACACACAAGTTGGGTCTTACACCCCACTCCATCCACATATTGAGAAGTGAGTACTCCAGAGCAAAGATGCATAGCACAGGATAAACGGGTTTATCTTTATCGTCCTGTAACCATTCGAGCAGATCGATGCCTGCGATATTAATCACATGGGAGTTTACTTCGTCGAAGTAACGACGGTAAGTGGAACATGTATTGTACAACTCAAATCCCATTCCTGCATATTGACAACCATGACCAGGGAAAAGAAATGAAATGGGGGTTGGTCCAGTTCTTTTGATAGATTTATTCTTGATTTGACTCGGTGCCTCGATGCCTGACTTCGAATCTGTTTGAAGAGCATGGAGTAGTTCAGCACGATTGCAACCAATGGCAATTGAGCGATACTCGTCGAAATGATGCCGACCAGTGGATGCCGAGTAACAGTAGGCTGCTAGTAAGTCGTCACCATCTAACAAAGCAAGGAGACAATATGGTAATGCTCATTTTACTGTTCGTAAAATATAAAACTAGCTGAAGATAAGATCACTTGCTATGCTAGTTAGTGGTGTATTTGAAATTTGATTATTCTTGTAATCTAAAAGCATATTTAACAACGTTGTTACTGGTAGATAATCAAACAACCTTTGTGCTTGAACCTAAAAAGTACTCTCACATCTGCAGAACGTCCTATACCTGAATTATATTGCGGCATATGTCAAGAATTGCTTTTTCATGAAGTGTTTTTTCAAAATTACCTTGCTCTTCAAACAATTCCAAAGCCTGTATGTGTTTCTTTTTCAAGCATTTAAGCGCGCCAGCAGACTTGGCTGAGAATGGAAGTATATAGAGTGGCGTACGTTCCCTTAAAGCTGGATCTGTTTTTGACGCTGCTAGTGGAACGACGCGCTCCAAGATCAGGTGCGTATTCGTACCAGTGATCCCGAAGGAGGACACTCCGGCAAGTGATCCCTTCCACTCTTGTGCTATCTTTGGTATTAGTAGTCCATCAAAATTGATTAAGGGATTGAGGTCGGCAGTGAGAAGTTGGGGTGGTATTGACCCATATTTCATTGCTAAAAGAACCTTAAGCAGCCCGGCAGCTCCAGATACGCTTTCGGTATGTCCAATATTAGCTTTGATAGAAGTTATGATCAGTGGATTCGATCTTTTTCCTGACGAGACTTGATAGGCTAGTCGCGTTGCTGCTACCTCAATGGGGTCACCAACCATTGTACCGGTTCCGTGCATTTCAATCCATCCAATTTCCTGCGGTGTCAATGCCGCGTCTTCAAGGGCGGCAAGCATAGCTTTAGCTTCTCCGTCAACGGTTGGTGTGCCAACATTTCGGCTGAGACCATCTTGCGAAGATCCATAGCCTCTAATAACTCCGAGAATGTTATCACCATCTAGTTTTGCATCCGTAACTCGCTTTAAGACAGATAATCCCTCCGTCAGCTCTCGCAAAACCATCAGCATCAACTTGAAACACCTTACACCTACCAGAAGGTGATAGCACGCCCTGTAACATTCAATGTTCGAATTTGGTCATAATCCTAATAGGTGTTAAAACAAACACAACTTCCCTTCTCAACCTATTTTGAAGAAATGCAAACCCAAGTCAGTTATGATCGGAAAATTTGTAGGCCCTAGGAATTTTTCGGTTGAAAAATATCGATCTGAACCGAATCCGAATTTTTCGATTAAAAAAATATCCGAACCGAATGATTCGGATTTGGTTCTGAATATTTTATACGACAGTCGGATAACCGACATAATTCTTTAACCTATAAAAAATGAGTCAGTCTTTCTTGCAAAGTTTTTCCTTCGATGAAAAATACAAATTTGGGTATAGATAATTGAATGAGCGAGGTCCCTCAGTAGTTGAAAAAGTTTTGACTCGCATTTTCAAAAAGTCCAGAAGTAAAAATAACAAATATCTCGATTAAAGCTTTGCAGAGCCCGCCGCAGAGTTTACAATACAAGCATGATTTTGTAACTATCAGGTAAACGCTAAAAATAAATCATAAAAAGGCTAGCCTGGGCTAGATTCGATTTAAAGGATGAAGTAACCCGCTCCCTCCTTAAACGCATAGGGTAATTGTGCAAAAATAATTAGAAGGGTTATGCACTATAATTTTACATGCACTATGCTCATAACAAGTTGATTATGCTGATTGTTGGTTCAAAAATCCGGCGAGTTCAATTGAATTGAACCGATGTTGCACGCCAACACGTTGAGGATGAAGTTTCCTCATCTTATCCTGAATATTTTTTCGGTGCAAGATTAACGAAGAATCAGCAAGCACGCAAGGTATAAGGCTAAAGTAGCGTATGCACATTTACGGGTAGAATTTATTAATTCAGACCAATTTCTTGATATCTATATATACTACTTGCACTCAAATAGTTGTGCCTGTTGCGAAATCATTTACTGATCAGCGATGCGCAATTCGACAGCGCCTTCTGTCCAGATTGGTTGAAGGGAGACTATTATTCCGTCATTCTAATGACATTTAACCTAGTCTTATAAGCCAAGACAAATTTGTTAGAACTAGTTTTTCAACTCAAGACCATCCAATTGCTCCCGTGAAAGTGACATGGAAAATTTATGCCTATAGATGACAGAAATCTACTCTAATAAAGTGATAGTATGATCCCTGGGTCCCTGGGTCCGTCTTCGCAATGCAAATTGCCCCATACAGTAGACAAAGAAGGAAGCGGAGCAACCACTGCATGCATGCACTGCACTGCATGAATAAATGAATACATGAACATGTACACCCCACATACATACATCACTCATCAATAGTGGTTATCATGATAAGTGATCGTGATAAACACTATTAATTAATTATTTTAGTTTGAGAAACTCTACCCACAGCGAGTGGCATGTCAATTCGAATGTATTTTTGACGCTGAATCCAACGCCGTCAATGGTTTTGACCTGCGAGGCCCCCGTGACCTCGCCGTGACCGTGGTGTCCAAATCTGGCTTATTCGTGATGTCGCATATCAATTCGAATGTATTTTTGACGCTGAATCCGAATCCGTCAATAGCTTAGCGTTAATTGTAGAAGTTAACGGGGTTTATGGAACTTAACGGGAGCGTGAAGCGTGGGAATTTAAATAGTTAGCTATGCAGTTACTCCCACGCGACGGGAATTTAAGTAATTAGCTATTCAACTACTCCCACAGGGGGGAATCAAATTTTACTGTGACCAGGTTAATTAAAATGCAGTATGACTTGGGCAAACCCTCACTCTGATGTATGTATGTAGTATGACAAAGTCTCCACTGGGAATTATTTAAAATATAGTATGACGGATTTTTCGCTTTGGGCACACCCCCCACTGGAACTCTTGAATCCGGCCTTGGCCGGGCTATACGCTAGTATTGGTCATAAATTCGAGCATAGCCAAATGGCTACTTGGAGGTCCGTCAAATTTTGTGCAAAATACTAACATCACTGATATTTTTCTAAGGCGAGACATGAAACGTAATTCATCATTAAGTATCAATTTGTACCTGAAAATCCTGATACTTGAAGGGCTTCAGGATGAGATTTGCTCCACCAGCAAGGGCCAAGTTGGTCCTTTTTGCTCGCAAATGTCGCACTGCAGCACCTATTGCGCATGAGGATGCCGAACATCCAGCTTCAATCCCTTCGGTTGGACCTATTGTCCCAAAAAATTGAGCAATCCTTGCCGCCGAGTTCCCGGTTGAGCATCCAAGGTAACGGCGTACCTCCTCCCCTCCTTCAGTTGTGCCAGCAGTCAAGATGAGGTCCTTATACTCATCCCTCCAAGTGCCAACAAGCACAGAAGCCGCAGTTCCACGAAGTGATTTTGATGGAATTCCTGCGTTCTCCAGAGCCTGGATATACATAGATATATAAACACTTGACTCAACATGCACTGGAACTAAAGGTAATTAGGACTGAGTTTAAGGAATTAAAATGACCAAATTCTGCAAAAGGATTGTCTACTCCAAATTTTTAGCAAATATAATAAAGTTTTATCAAACACATGTAGTTATATTAAATGCTTAATAACTCACCTCCCAGCTTAACTGCAGCAGGAGCCGTGCCTGCGGATCAATGAAACCTAACTCGAGTGGCGACAATCCCCAAAAAGTTGAGTCAAATTTGTCCACGTCGATATCAATGAAGCCAGCTCGAACAGATTTTTCCTCATCCTTGAGCCCACGACAACCTTTCTCAATTGCCCATCTACTCGATTGGACCACGCCCACCGAGTCGGTCCTGCTCATTAGATTTTTCCACAATGTGGCTCCATCGTTCGCTCCTGGTAAGCGAAACGCTACCCCAACAATTGCAACCGGTTCCTCCCTCGCCGTTTCCGATGTCATTGTATGCGTGAGCATATTGAATGTCCAATTCTCGAACCCGAAGTAAAATGTGGTGCTGGAAAGATTCTCTGAATTTGCTGAGTTTGTTGCTCTGAGTAAATCAGATTGCAGAATAATCTGAACTTTGCTTAAGCTCTGTATATTTATGCACAATTTCTTTTTACTTCCCTGTAAAGGATTGAAGCGATAACAAAGGCATCACATTTTTAAGTAACATATATATATATTTATGCATAACCTTGACTCACATATATATGGAACATGGATGTCACATGAACATGGATGAACATGGATGTCATACATATCAGATATGGAACACCATATCTAATTGCACTACACTTATTAATGAGTTCATTAATTAGTTATGGAGTAGTGCACTTTGCACTATCATACATATAACAGGAATATTAAAGTGAAACTATTTTTTTGTCCTTGTCAAATAGTGATGTAGTCGACGGTGTGATGAGATTGCACAGTTGGAAATTTCGTACACTAAATTAAATTTATCCTACACAATTACTCTTTACCAACAGTCTTGCGTGTAAAATTTTATAAATTCCCTACCCTTTCCTGGTCTAAATATATGTAAGGAAAATAAATGCAACATAATTCGCTCAAGATAATAATGTTGCTTACATCATGTCAATTAGTGCTGATGGGTTTAAAATTATATACATAAATTATTTAATCCGACGGACTAGTTTGGGTACTTGTAGCGCGACGGATGTTGTGTTCTGCTTGAGTTAAAATAAGATGCGGAATGTTGGGATCTCCTGCCTACTGATTACTGAGTAATTAGATAGATACCAATACAAGCTATACTTGTTTCCAACAACAAAACATACCGAAATGTTCATAGATTAAGAGTTATTTTTCGTTATCCGTGATCCACTTATCGGCCTTACCTAAACCACTCAAGTTGCTGTAAATGGTTTTTCCCACCTTGTGTATGCGCGTTTAAAAATTTGGGGTAGTTCAAAAACGTTTTATCAGGTGACAAGTTTCTAGTGTTGCCAACGAGCTGTTCACTGAGTTTAAGATGAGTTGGGGTATGGCTGACTACAGATCGTCATGTGCTTGTGGGAAACTGCATTGTTTATATGTAAGCATTTTTCGACTACCAAACAAATTTAAAATATAATGATATAAATTTCGAAGGAATAAAAAATTGGTAATTTGTCAGTTTTGAGCCACCTTGTTTGACACACCAAAGAGTGTTTTCTAAATTTGAAGGATATAATTACCGGCTGGTAGAAATTTATTACCAAAATTATAAAGATAGCTTAAAATATTCCGGTGGATGGCTAGTTACCCGTTTGGTATTGATACGGTAATAATCCCGTATAATTTTTGTAGGACGCGTAATTACCAAGAGCTCGGTAAAGACGCTTATTAGGAATTCTTTACCAAGTTGCTAAGAGTGTAGGAGTAGAAAAATGCTAAAAATTTAATTTTGCAAGTACCAATTGGTAGTTTATTTAAGGACAACTTCATCCTTAGTTTATTTAGCTCCTTTTGGCAACACTGAATATTCCTATTTTGGTTTTATTAATTAATACATACAGTGGTGATATATAAATATGTATAATTTTCGTATAATTCTAGTCGAGATTTCAGCCTGATTATAATCTTATTGGACACTCTGTACAGTCGTTGTAATTGTAAGTAGAATTCGCATTGACATGCATCTTTATGTAAGTAACCTGGCAGACGAGAATTGTACCCCAGAAAGGGGGGAAAATAACTTAAAAAGTAAAAATTAACTTAAAGTAAAAATTTGCTATTAATATGGTAAAATTGTAATACCGAGCTACTCCTACACCGTATCACTTATCAGTACCACTTTGGTAGAGACAGGAATATACTGCTTGATATTATTTAAATGCTGGATTTCTAAAGGTGCATTGCGTAAAACAAAGCAAATCATGCGCTAAGATAATTGGTAGGTAATTCTCACAAAGTGAAGATTAATACGGGAGTACATATATAAGCAGGATAACTGGAGAAGGCATCGAGATAATCGAGACCGAATCAGATGTATGACCTCAAGGGGAGGATCGTAACGACTTTTGGGGTCTAACCACCCCCCTCGAAGTAAGTTGGTGTGGACCACATATTTTTTGGGGTAGAGAGGGATTACTAGTTTCATCCTGTTTTCGTTTACTATTTACTTTTTTACAAATTTGTGTTGTCCTATATTGAGCAAGGGAGTTAAGGTGGCATTGTATGCATGTTTTGAGTTTGAATTGTTGTCTTAACTTTCCATTCCTCCATATATTCAAATGGCGATTTTGAAACCTATTCATCTCTCCGTGAGTTTTTTTAAAGTATGAGGGTTTTATTGCACAAAAAATCGATAATTTTTAGGTTTACAAAGTTACAAGGGTATACCCTTGAAAATTCTATAGAATTTTCTTCAATGAGAGAATAAATGTAATTTATATTTATTCTCTCATTGAAGAAAATTCTAAATATTTGGCCTTTACTCATTATTTTTAATCTATTTTATATTATATATAAACAAGGCCCCAAAAAAGGGAAATCTTAGTGAGGCTTGGTGCGACTACAACTAATAAATAAAATTAGATTGCAGAATTTTTGCATCACCGCTCTCTGTACCGTTCTTTACTGGAAGCATTAAGGAATCATTTGGAATAAATGGCTCAAACATTCTTGTAATTTCATGAGAATAAGAATTAACAGGATATCCAGATTATAGGATTATCCAGAAAATATTAAAATTAAATATTTGCAACTTTTGTAGCATATTTGCAACTGTTTGCATCTTAAACTTAAAGATTCGTAGTTCTCAATTGTTTACCCATTATATTTGTTCCCAGCTAATTTACCAAACTTCTCATTCACTAGTGAAAACGCCTTCTTCGTCTTTCGTCCAATTAATTCAATAAATGTATAAATGCATGTTTATGCAAAACAAAATTTATATTGGATCCAGTAAGAATGGTACAGAGAGCGGTGATGCAAAAATTCTGCAATCTAATTTTATTTATTAGTTGTAGTCGCACCAAGCCTCACTAAGATTTCTCTTTTTTGGGGCCTTGTTTATTTAATACTTGTAGTTGAGTTCTTCATATATTTATTAATAAGCACCATACATTCCTTAAAGCTAGAGTTGATTAGAAGATTTATTGTCAACAACATTAATGCTTTGCGTCGCTGCAAAAATTTGAAGGTTTTCTAAATTTAATAATCTCTCGAGTTCTTAACCGATTTTGATCATCCGGATCATAAATTCACCAAATCGGTTTGAATGTCATTTCTAAATTTCATAAGAATAATCGGTGCAAAATGTCATCAAAATCGGTTGAGAAATGACTGAGATATTGAATTATTTCTGTCAGTTTTTGGGGTGGGGTCAATGCACACAATATGTAATTTTTGTTGCCAGGTCGCTAAAAAATGGCAATTTTTTAGATTTCAAATTTGAATAACTTTCTGAGTTCTAAACGGATTTGGATAATCTTGGACTTAAAATAACCGGAATGACTTTGCATGTGCACAATGTTTTCAATAAGGGAACATGTTTGAATGATCCATTAATGAACTATGAAAAGAAATGTTCAGTAAGGGGCAAATTTTCGCGTATTTTTGCCCATAACTCTCTCAAAAAATAAATATTCCAAAAGGCGACTCGCACATCGTTTTGAAATTATCTAACAATGATCGGTGCAAAATTTCATCTAAATCGGTTGCGAAATGACTGAGATATCGTCGGCGGTCACTTTTTTGGGGAGGATCAAATGCATACTTACAATGGAGGTCTCCCAACGTATGCTCACAGATTTGGACCAAACTAGTGTCAATCGATCACAAATATAATTAGTATGAAATTTGCAAATGGAACTATCTGCCAATGCGCAGGTTTGGCGGAGATATTTGCATAAAAAGCAGAAAAAATGCGCAGGAAATTTGGAAAATGAAAAATATGCCAGCCTTTTGGTGCGTTTTCTCCTGTTGAATGTAAATATCTCCGCCAAACCTGGGCATTGGCAGATAGTTCCATTTGCAAATTTCATACTAATTATATTTGTGATCGATTGACACTAATTTCGTCCAAATCTGTGAGCATACGTTGGGAGACCTCCATTGTCAGTAATTTTTTGTTGCTAGGTATTTGCCTCACTAAGAAAAATAGATTAAAAATAATGGGAATAAATATTTTCTCATGGAGAAAATAAATAAATTTTTAAAAACAAACTTAGGTGAAGGACGCGCTTAAAATATTAAAACAAGAAGCATTAAAAAATGTCATAATATCGTTTAATATTTATTAACTTTTACTTCACCGTGGGCCCAACTTTTTCATGATAATTAACAATAAATGTAACTAAACTAACGACTTGATTAACAAATAAGTGCACCGTTACAGGGGGAGTTACTAAAATATGTCAGAACATGAACAAATTTCCTCTATAACAGGTGTCGCGATTTATTGAAAGATAAACAATCAAATCTTGCAAGTTTAATATATAAATACTACGTATTTCGAATAATTGTTCCAAATGCCTGAAGGTATAGCTTTTCTCCTGTATTAGTTGGGCCCATGGTGAAGTAAAAGTTAATAAATATTAAACGATATTATGACATTTTTTAATGCTTCTTGTTTTAATATTTTAAGCGCGTCCTTCACCTAAGTTTGTTTTTAAAAATTTATTTATTTAATTATTTTTAGTGATTTGTGAACTTAAATGCATAAAATCATATGCAATTATCAAATCTTAAAAGTTGTTAATTCTCCTGTGGGTGGATGCGTGGTATACCAAAGTAATACCCCAGTGGGTGTGGGTGGTATACCAATTTAATTCCCCCCGTGGGTGTGATGCGTAGCATACTAAATTAATCCCCGAGTGGGTGCGGATGCGTGGTACACGAATTTAATCCTGCAGTGGATGTGGACGCTTGGTATACCAAATTAGTCCCGCAGTGGGTGTGTACGTGGCCCTACAAAATTAGTTTCCCAGGGTATGCATGCGTTATATTTGTATTTCATGCAATTTGATCGCTGCTGATTGTTTCAGCCAAATATGCTAAACACACCTTGCATTATTCGCACACGTTAGCAACCAGTATCCTAGCACGAAAATATACATACGCAAATAGGTTGCTTAATGGAAATATTTCAAAAAGCTCTAATTCCGTGAGTTTTCATCCGATTAAGTCGAACAAAGGCTTAAAATTTGCGTATTATCCAGGAGAATAATAAAACTGGCAAGCCCCCGGTCGGAAGCACTTTCTTGATACCAAGAAATGGATTTGAAACTTTAGGCATCGGACTTTCTACCTTAAGGAATTAGAATTTCGGAAAAAATAAAAAAAACGTATCTGTACAACAGAATTCTCTGGTTTTTTTGTTTCAACATGTTATCCATGCAACGAACGGTTCGGGCGAAATCTCAGTGGGACCTTTTCAAAGTTGCAGCTGAATGCATACTTAGGCTTCGCCGTAACCATGGTGATCTTTTAACATGATCACCTTATGCCTCATTTTCCTTCACCTAAGAAAAATCAAAATTCTACACTCGTAACTTCGTAAAAATAATAATGTTGTAAAAACCCTTCGGAGATAGACAGTTTCGAAATCGCTATTTTAATATATGGAGGAAGGGAAAGTTGAGACACAACAATTTAACTCTAATCCCGCATACAATGGCACCTTAATATAGGGTTTGCAGGTTTCGTGCAAGAATGTTGGTGATAATAATTGCATGCATGGCGGCATTTTTTGGAGAATCTCCAGGGTTGGCCAAAATACTATTTGAAATACAAATTACAAAATACTATTTTGTATTTTGTATTTTGAAGCTAGCCGGGTATTTTGTATTTTCTATTTTGTATTTTCTAATTTTTCAAGTCGGTCAATGTATTTTAAATACAAAAATACTTTACAAAATACATTTGAGAAATATGAGACGAACTCATGAAAAGAACAAGAGTTGGTCTATGCAATATATCTATTGCTACCATTCCTCATCGGTTATTTTCAGTTTCTGGACTCTGGCTGTGCCAGAAAAGTACACAAAATATTTTATATTTACATATGCGGGTGATTAATTTCCATTTTAAAATTTTTATCAAGTATTAAGATCGTAATTAAAACTTCTATATTTTTACTTCATTGTCGACGCTATGTCGTACGATAAAGTATTTTTGTAGTGTGAGAAAGATTAAAATTAGATAGATTGAAATTATTTGCGGGCTTCTTCATATATAATTTTTTCGTATATAATTAATTTCATATAGAATGAAATTCAAATGACATCACACATGCCCAGTAACATAATAACTAAATTCCAAATAACGCTGTGAAATAAAATCAGTTAGCAAAACTTTTGAAATTTGAGCTTGAATTGCATTTTTCAGGGTTAAATATGGCAGTAGTATTTTGTATTTTGAAATGTATTTTAAATACGTATTTTGTATTTTGTATTTTGAAGTTTCGTCGATTTTGGGCAAAAGTATTTTGTATTTTGTATTTTGATGAGATTCGGGTATTTTGTATTTTGAAGTTTCGTCGATTTTGGGCAAAAGTATTTTGTATTTTGTATTTTGTAATTGTATTTTGAAGGTTCACAATAATGTATTTTCATTTTGTATTTTGTATTTTGAAACCCATGTATTTTGCCCAACCCTGAGAATCTCCTCGTCAGCAAGCAAACACATGTTTGTCACAAAATATGCAAATTCCAAAACCAAATAACTTCATCTCATTATTCTCATTTAACCACACTTTCTGCATTTCGTATTTGCATATTTATCATTGTTTAACGATTTATTTAGCAAGTAATTAGTTTTTCCGACAGATTAATTCCTTACACAATTTTTTAGTTCTTCAAGAAACTTTCTTTGTTCTTTGTAAAAAAAAGTCAAAAAATACCAAAATAAGTCCGTCTCTATGGTGCCAGGAATTCTGAATAAACTGCAAATTTGTATGAAAATTCAATACCGTATAATGGTAATAAAACCAATATCCACACATTCATATATTCCAGAAATATTTGAAAATTTGTATATATCTTAAACTCCAGAGGACGTGTACAGATTTTGACATGTTGTTGTACTAAACAAGTTTTCGCACAAGATAAGGCAAGCCTCATTAAAATTAAATTACATATATTAAGAGATAAATATCGTAATTAAACGAAGCTAAATTACAATTGAATTCTACAGAAAATCCATCATCCTTAATGGAAATTCGCCACAATTTGGGGGCAAACATGCCACCAAAACGGATCTTTGCCTGCGCCGAAGAAAAACTATTTTTCGAACAGGAGAAAAAGAAAACAGCCGCAGAACTTGGACGTTTCTACCGAGCGAGAATGACCGAGGAGAAGAAAGCGTTGGTGCGACGACAAAATGCGGAACGACAACGTCGTCGATTGGAACAACTGACGGAGGAGGAGAAAAATGCCTTGCGCCGTAAACATGCTGACCGTGAACGAAGCCGGGTCGCCAATATGACCAACGAAGAGATAAAAGCTTATCGAGATAAGAGAGCCCGACAGCAGAGGGAGGGAGAGAGGAGGAGGAAAGCCTTGGCTGTCGATAAGGATTCAGAGTGAGGATGACTACATACGTATTTATTTAATTATAGTGTTGCAAATTGTAATTTTTAATTAATATGTGTTAATTGTCCTACAGGAGTGAGGAGGAGGAGGACGACGATAAGTTGGAGGAGGTGGACGACGATAAGTTCGAAGAAGAGGACGACGATAAGTTAGAGGATAAGACTGACGAATGGAGGGTTCTTCCGACACTAGAATCGTGCGATGATGATGACGACCAGCGCGACAGATTTGTCGCCATGGAGGGATGTGACCCACTCTGCTTGCAGGATCAGGAAGAGGGTCCTAGCCAGCCGTGATTGTTGACTTGAACTAATTAGGATAAATTGTGTGTAAAAAAGTTTTGTGCGAGTAAATCTGGTAGTAATTTTTTAGTGATTTTTTTTTAGTATTTATGCATTATATATGTTAGAAAATGTGTAAATTTGTGTGCTAAAATTGTATGTATACACTTTTATTTAATGAGACGCGCATTTCTATGTTGTGAGATTATCAAGTACAAATTAATTAAGGGCAGTTTAAATTTAACTGTATTTATCTAATGTAAAAAAGAAATGAGAATATATTTACAAATTTGCTGTCAGAATTTGCAATAAAAACATATTTAACGGTGGCATTTATTTGATTTAGGGCCCGTTCATATATTACGTCAACAAGAGAGGGGGGGGGAGGGGGTCTGACCACTAATGATATCGTGCCTATCCTGCCCATGTTAAAGGGGGTAGGGGGGGGGGTCTGAAAATCCGATTTTTTTGATGACGTAATATATGAACGGGCCCTTACATAATATTATTGAATGGAGAGTGGAGTGGTGAAGGAAGTTACTGTTTGGTTTTTCGGATCTTTTACACCCCGCCTGCAATGCTTGCAGCTACGTCACGGCCTTATGCAGACATGACATGTTGTGTTTTCATCCGACCATTTTTGGGTCTTATAATGACTCCAAAATTATTTGCATATATTATCATGGATTTTAGTGTGCAAATTCTTGGTACTTGTAAAAAAGTGCGTTCTACCGTGATGGATGCTGCATAATGATCTGTCTGAACGACCATCACGTGACTGCAAGCATTGCAGGCGGGGTGTAAAAGCATCAACAAAGTCAACAGTAATCTCGTATTAATTTGCAGGTAATAGAGGTGTTTCGCATTTTAGCAGACTTTTTGGCAACATTTTGCATGGAACATGGAAATGAAACGGGTGCTGGAGTCGAGTGGAGAATAGGAGCGAGTAGGAGACAGCATTAATCCAACGGCGCCTGGTTAGCTCAGTCGGTAGAGCGTGTGGCTTTTAACCACAAGGTCCTGGGTTCGAGCCCCATACCAGGCGAATTCTTTTTGCACACTTTTTCCTATATTTTTGCACTTCCTCCTCTTCCCTTCGTATCATGTTTTTTGCTTTGCACCTTACATTTTATTTTTGAAACTTGGCCAAGAATAATCATGTATGTACGAGTCAATTTATGGCAAATTTACACACGGAGGCATATTTTATTAAATATATCCTTATACAGATAAATGCATAGTTTACAAGGCTAGAAAACATTGGCTTTATTTAATTTACCTTTAAAATCGACATTGTATACATTGTATTTTTTAAATTTTGCTCAATAAATAATTGTCAAATACACAATAAATTACGGATCAAGTGTTTCCCTCCATCGAATCCTCCTCCTCAACAATCTGTTCTTTCACCCGATTCAGCCCCCTTTGCCTCCCTCCAGGATTCTCGTGCGTTTTCAAATGATACCGTAAATGAGCATTCTGCTTGAACGCCTTGTCACACAGGGGACACTTGTAGCTCCTCAGCTGTCAGAAGATACAAACACAATTAATAATTAGTTAATCATCATTTTTATAAATCAATTAATCAACCAAATAACAATTAAACAAGTGATATTATCAGCAAATCGGTCGGTTGTGGGTCGTGCACGGGGTCATTGTAGGGTAAATAATTATCAGGAAAATATGACCTTATGACCCACAATGACCGGTCCCACCGACCAAACTGAACCTCTACGAACCTGTTCATGAACCAGAATCATGTGTCTTTCCAAGTTCCTCTTCAACGTAAATTCCTTGGGACACTTGGAGCACAAAAAGCTAGCTCTGGGCCCCTCCGGGTGCATCAAATTTTGATGAGCTACCAACGTATACTTAAAGAGGAACGATTTAGGACAATGTTCGCATAAGAATTTCTTCTCCTCTTTGAGATGTTGACTTTCACAGTGGCGTTGGAGTGTGCCCTTCTTGCGGAATGCGAGCCCACACGTGGGGCAGGGATGCGGCTTCTCCCCGGAGTGGATTAGTCTATGATTTAAGAAATTCTGCACCTGGCCGATCACTTTGGAGCAGTCGGGGCAACGAAAATTTCGAAATTTCGTCCTGCCCGGGGGCCTATCGGTGACTTCGAATTGGGTAAGATCGTCTAGGGGCTGGGTTGCGTGGATGGTGGAAAGATGCGTGGCGAGGGAGGTTTTCGACCCGAATCGAAGGTCACACAAGTGACACTGAGAGATCGGGGCTTTGCGAGGGCGCGGATCTGCGGCAGTGTGGAATAGCATTTTGTGTCTACGATAACTGCCAGAGCTGTTGGAGACAAGGCCGCAATAAGGACAAGTGACGGGAGACTTATTCTTCTTCTTCCTAATGGCTGGAATATAAGGAGAGAAATTAGTACGGGAAGAGTGTCTGGATGGGGATGGATTTACATGATTTCCGTTTTTTGGAGGCGGGACAAGGCTTTTGTTTCCGAGAAGGGGCAGATTCATTGTCGGGAATATATTCGTCGTCCGAAGGAGGGTTAGAATATGGGAGGATGTAATCGTCATCATTATAATCCGGGTCAGGGTGGTCATCGTTGTCGTCACTGCTACAATCTTGGAGAGGTCGTGGTTCCTGTAAAATAGGAATTTTTGCATAGACGTTAACTTTAATTTTTGCCATGGTGCAATTCATTATTCGCACCTGAACTTTCCACTTGGCGAACTCCATTTTATTTAGTCTGTCCAGGACGATGCGGAGGTCAGGTTTACCGGGTTCTTTCTTAACCTCGCCTGACCCTACATTCTTGCCAGTATCTGCAGTGTTATTCCTGCCGGCACAATGTCAAACAACATTGATAAGATATTACATTATCGAGAGCTAAATGTTACATAATATTTAAAATCTTACACATTTTTTACATGCTGGCAACTTAATTTACTTCCTATTTTGACAACTTTCTCTTTCCGACTTTGCCGAACCTTATTAATGCGCTGGCCTGGCGGCGTCTTCTTATTGAGAGGATTAGACTTTAAAACTAGAAACAACATTATCTAATTATTTATAACGATTTTGTAAATTTTACAAAAATGTTAATTGAGTAATTATCTATGTGTTCATACCTAAATTCTGGTCATTGTCGCTGTTATTACTACAGTCTAAATTATCAGGTTTGATACAAATTCCAAGATCTTCTTCGTTTGGAATGTAAAGAGGGTCAAAGTCGCCATCTTCTTGGATTGGAGACGAACACAGCAGTTCTTCTTTCACGTCGACTTCACAATGATCAAACGCGTCGCCGTGGTCATCGGCATAATTATGTGTCGGAGTGCTCCCCAGAGCGCCACAAAGGGAAGTGGAGCCAGTGAAAAGGTCGGCAAATGTCAAGGACAAAATTTCATTAAGCAAATTTAGCAGTCTTGTAACATCACTTAGTTTTGCGTCTGTAAATACATATTCAAATTAATTAAAATATGTAAAACAATATTTTCTTCTCGAATTTATTATTCAATTAACTTGCCAATTTTATCTTGGTCAGTATTGAGCCCTGCGCGCCGAGCAATTTGGCGAATCCTTTGGCGACTCTTGGATAAAAATGTTTTCAGAGAGTCGACCTCCGCCGATAACTCGGTCGCCACGTCGGCCTCCATGGCGTCTGTGTGTACACTTTGCAGGCTATACATGTAGCTTAAAAATTACACAATATTATTGCTTATTGTAATTAAATGATATTTATTTAATTTCACCTCAGCTGCTTTTTTTGCAGTGAAAGCATGAAGAAGAGACAAATCCCGCTGGCACCAAGTCGCAATTCAAATGGCGTGGGCATCAGCCCCTAGCCCCGTGGGCCCCAGCCCCTAGCCCCTCAAAGGTAGGCCTCAGCCCCTACCCCCTATCCCCGTGGGCCTCAGCCCCTAGCCCCTAGCCCCGTGGGCCTCGGCCCCTAACCCCTACAAGGCTGGCCTCAGCCCCTACCCCCTAGCCCCTCCAAGGTTTGCTTCAGCCCCTACCCACTTTTTTCATTTTACCCCATACATTTTACCCCAGAAATGTACATAATTTTCCTTAGGACCCGAAACCCTAATTTTACTCCCAAACTTCAGCAATAATGAGGTTTGTAGTTTCTATTCTAGCATATCGAAATATAAACATTTTCCTGCAAGGCGCGAGATGTCCGTGTCGTCTTAAGATTATATCGCTAGAGTGTGCCCCTGCATTGTTATATTCATGTCCCACATTGGAGAAGAGTCCCTTCTTAGCGAGCGAATCATTCAGATACAGACCAGGTACGCGCAGTTAATCAATCAATTCAAATTGTATTATATTGCTAGTAAAATATATTAATTCATAAACATTAATGGGAGAGCCGTATGAAGTAGAAACACGTGCACCAAGGTACACATGATTTACAGTGTTATATTTAACATTAAATTTGGAATATAAATATCAGAGGATTGTAAGGTATAATAAGTGTTGTGAACGGTTTTCATTTCGAGAAATGATCAATCTGAAATGGATAGCATAAGCTTAGTAAAGGGCTTTATTTTGACACACAAATATCAATTGACCCAAAAGTAATTATGTGTTAATACTTTTGGCTGTACTTAAATTACAAGGTTACAGAATGGATAAAGAGGATGAGGGAATCTGCACTACAAAACTCCTCCCCTATACTTCGTAAAAGTAGAGATAAGTTAAGTAAATTTGCGATCATACGTGGGCAATATCTGATATTAATAAGTACCGTTGTGCTCGTAATCGATATAATATAAGTATAAACAATGCACAGACATCCGAGGAAAGCTAAAGGATTTGCAAAAAGTTGATCGCGAAGTGAAAGGTCTCATCCGGAGGGGTCCTAAGTACACAAAAAGCAGGCAGCCTCAATACAAATGGACCTCCGGATCTATCATGGAGGCGCGATGAGACAAGCAGCCCATGAAGGGCAAACACAAGCTAAGCACACCTACTTTCTTCTCTGTCACCTTCTTTAATGCAGAAAACATAAGAAACCTCTCCCACCTTCCCTCACCTGAATCGAACTTCCTATCCGATTTAGGCCTTCTGCACGTAGAAACGTGGCGCACCCACTCCCCACCCACCCTCCCTTCCCAACTTCACCCTCATCGACTCTATCGCAGTCAAATCCCCAGGAAAAGGAAGACCAAGCGGTGGCGTTGCACTACTTATCAACAACGCACACTGTAGGATCTCATCAATTCCTCACCAAAGCCCAAACACCATCATCACTGTATGCACATGTCGGCATTCCAACCTTCAACACATCCTCATTCACTGCTACTTCCCACCATCAACTGCTGGATTAGGAGCAATGCATTCCAAACTTGTCGTCATTGAACAAACTATTGAAAAATTCCCGAATGCGTCATGAATTGCTGGTGGTGATTTCAATGCAAGAGTGGGAAATCTAGGCGAGATCGACACAGATATGCAGCTTTATTGCCCACGCCAACGCAGGACTCTTATGAAAAGAACACCGATGTTTGGATACATTTAATCACCTGTTGTCACCGGTTTCGCAATTGTTTAATGCTTCATCAGACCTTTTTCAATAAAAAATATTACAAAATTGTTTAAATTAAAATTAAAAATTGAATAAAATTAGAGTAAAATTATATGTAGCCATCAAGAATAGAAATAAATCACAATATCAATTTATAATACCTTTGTTGAGATTGAGTCTTTGATTTATGTGTACAATTTAATAAGTATGTATGTATTTCCCTCGTGGTTTTGTACAAGACTGAGATAACATTTTACTTTTTCATACAAAACTATTCTAAGGAATTAGTCTGCTTAGAAGAGAGATTACAAAGATATTACAAAGTTTAGGCTGTCAATAATATCACGGTACTGTTTATTTCTGCTCATATCTTTCTCTGTCTTAATATACCTTATGAGAGTATGTTTAAACTGATACATATTATTGTAAAATGGCATAACTAGAACATGTTCATGTTTAACGTGTTCTCTGTATGTCTCTTTTTCTTTGATTTTATAGTTTTGGTATTTACATAGTACTTCTGTGTAGTTATTCTGAAGAGAATGTAACACAAGTTTTGTTTTTGGTTGTAAAACTTCATGCCTGTCTTTTATTCTGACCTTTTCTATACATTCGTTTATCACTGTAATAGGATATCCTCTGCTTAAAAACTTTGTACATAATACTGTAAATTCTTTCTCACAATCCTCTTTTCTAGAACATATCTTTTTAATGCGTAAAGGTTGACTAAATGAGATGGATTTTTGAACAGATTTTGGATGGTTAGATTCATAATTTAAAAACAATTGTTGGTGCTGAAAATGTTTATATATATCCAGTCGTTTCTAAGTGATATATCAGATGAAAATTCCCAAGATGAAGTACAAAACACGCTCAAAATGGAATATATATTTTCTACAATATATTCGACAGCAATGACTCAGTTTCAAATGGCAACTCATGCTATAACAATTCATGTTATTGACTGGGAACATTACAACTCTAAAACAAAACCCTGATGGAGAAAGGATACTCCAGATACAATTCCCGAAGATCTACATAAAATGCAACAGATACAATAGCAAAAGTTAAAGATGGAACATTGTCATTGATAGGATAGACGGTTCATTCTGAAGTATAAAAATTCATGAATGGAACAATTCCCAAAAATATTAATAACAATCGTGGAAAATTTCGAAGAGAAAGGGGATGAGGTGGATGGAGAAATCACGTCCAATCCGAACCAACGCTTTTCAACAACTCACAAAGCACATTTTATGGACTGAGAGGACGGGTCATGGTCGTGGTGGTCAAACTCAAAATAGTGGAACTTCAAATCATCAAAATAAAGATCATCTACTAACGAATTGGACTGCCCCGTAAAAGGCGCGCTAGGCGGGAACGCAGCGAAATTAAATTTCGAAAAAATTATTTTTGAATAGACCAAGTTATAAGCTTTCCATTGATATATGTCACCAATTTTTGAGTCATGGCCAAGACTAGAAAAACTTGGGTTGAAAGGCAAGAGTTGGGAAAAAGAGTGATTGAGTTTCATAAAAATAGAGCAAACAGTGATTCCAAAACTATGTGGAATTTTTCTAGACAAGAAGGTATTTCTGAATGCAACGTCTACGACTTCGTAAAAAAGTACGGGGAATCGAATAAAATCAAATTCAAAGCCCCTACTTGTCGACCTGTATAGCTAGCGACGACAAAAGTCAAAAATCGGATACAAAAATCTTCAAAAAAATGAGTATTATCTTTAGAAATTTTGGCGTCAGGTAATTTATCCAGGCACATTTGCGTACTTCGCCGTGAACGGAAAATAAAATACCTCGCAAATATATCTACAGAATTTGGTGCACAGTAATTCAAGTTTCGCGACACTCAACGTACACACACTCATATTTAACCAACATGAATTTACAACTCACGCACCTCTTAAGAATTTACTTACGATTAAAAATATCTACGTTTGAAATAAAAAGTATTTTCTACACAAATGATGTATGTTATGTTTTGACAGTATTTCTGGGTATTTGGTACGAATAAAATCAAGTGTGCGTAAATTTAACTTCCCTTACAAGTATTAGTTATATCCTATAGCTTGTATCAATCATATGCTAACGACCAGTTGAGATGGGCGCCCAATTTGCCGTGTCGACCAGTTGAGACTGGCGACAATCAGTTTGTCGACCAATCAGGTGTTAAGGACTAGTTTGTCGACCATTAGTCACCAACCCATATATTCCTATTAGAGCGTCAAACGATTTAATAAGATTGACGTGTATTAGATATATTTGGAAGGGAGAAAATACACGAACGGCTTGGGACGAGTGTAATGTTTGCCCACCCTTGGTTATGGGCTAGTTTAGGTACTGAGTGTGATATAGAAGTTAAGTTATTTGCTGGGGATTTAATTGTGTGCCGTGGAGTATGACGTGTGAGGGAGTAATAGCACGTGGACGTGACGATTTAGTTTAACTTTGCATTTGGTTTGGGTTACATGTATTTAAATGGGTAGCCAAATGTTTCAAGCTTGCCTCATACCTGGTATGCATCTGAACGATTCGCTCGCTAAGAAGAGACTCTTCTTCAATGTGGGACATGAATATAACAATGCAGGGGCACACTCTAGCGATATAATCTTAAGACGACACGGACATCTCGCGCCTTGCAGGAAAATGTTTATATTTCGATATGCTAGAATAGAAACTACAAACCTCATTATTGCTGAAGTTTGGGAGTAAAATTAGGGTTTCGGGTCCTAAGGAAAAATTATGTACATTTCTGGGGTAAAATGTATGGGGTAAAATGAAAAAAGTGGGTAGGGGCTGAAGCAAACCTTGGAGGGGCTAGGGGGTAGGGGCTGAGGCCAGCCTTGTAGGGGTTAATGGCCGAGGCCCACGGGGCTAGGGGCTAGGGGCTGAGGCCCACGGGGATAGGGGGTAGGGGCTGAGGCCTACCTTTGAGGGGCTAGGGGCTGGGGCCCACGGGGCTAGGGGCTGAGGCCCACCACATGCAATTCAACTCAAACATTTCTTGAATTTTCTTGGCCCGTCACCTGATTCCACTTGCAACTTGTAAACATTGCACTTGAAATTTTGAATTTAATCCTAAATTTTAAATTGTACCTGCTTTTACCCACGTTAACGTAAATAACAAATAATGTCGATTGCATGGTAAGCACTGTTCTTATTAAGTGCTTTTACTTTATTATTGTTAAGAAAAGTTTAATTTTCATGTTTCATAAATTATGAATCATAAATCGGAACGATTAAATAATTTTTTGACAATAATTTCTAATTTATATTGGTTTATTTATCCATTTATGTCCAGACATGTCCTGCCTTCTCTGTTTGACCGAATTCTCTGGCGACGACCCAGCAAAATCCCGCAATAATGATGCAGCCCCCAGAAAAATACGAATCTCCACCCTGTGCCAATTATTGCTGGCATCGCGTCCTCGTAATTGTACAATTTATGATGAAAACGTTACTTCTCAACTTGCCGAGGATGACGATACGTGCGAATTTTGTCCCAGTTGTGGTCCCGTGATGACTGAGGTGGAAGAAATTCGGGATCAAATGGCCCTTCTGGAGGGTCAAATTAGAACGAAATTTGCGCAAATTCGGGCCACAATAACTTCCTCGTTACACAATGAGGGTCAGGATAAAATTAGTAAGATAAGGGACATCATTCTCCGTGTCACAGGTTCGTGATAAGTTTTATAATAATTACTACAGCAGCACGACATGACTTACTAAAGTGATTTTATCAATTTCTAAATTTTTTATATTATTTTTCTTTTGCATATTATCAGACGGAATCAATAACCAGAGGAACGGCAACTTCGCATTGGATGAGTTCGAAGTTAAAATAGAACAAGTCGAATTTCATGACCATGAGACCGTGATCGATGAGGAATTGTTAAGTAGTTATCATCATCCGTACGACTTGACCAATCCTGAAGTAGATTCGGACGAGGAGAACGACCTGAAAATGGACCCCCTTCAACTGGACGATGATGACGACGATTCCGCATTTTGTATCATTCCTTGCTCGCAAAAAAAGCAGAAATCTACACAAGCAAAAACTCAAAAGTCTACAAAACCCAGGTCAAAACCTGCCCGGTAAAAAAATTACTGTCGTTCATTATTATTATTTTTAAATAATGCTTATCAATGTAATTAATCCATCCTCAAGTTAAATTGTCTTACCCAGTAAGGATCAAATTAAAAGAAAACGGGAAATTTCTCTCGCTAAAAAGCCAGAAAAGACCACACCACCAATAAAATGTGTAAAACTGGAGCCACGACCAAACCTCGAACGAACGCGACCCTCACCTCGGATCAAACCTCAAGCCCAACCCCCAAAAGAACCAATCACCAAGGAAAAGGTATCGTCAACTCGATCAATTCCGCACGTAAAGTCTGAGCCAAACTCCTCCAACGAAAATGACGATTGGGATCCTACCGACATGGACGACACCGAGGTTGACAAGGTCATCCCCTCCTCCAAACGGTACCCCCTGCCTCTCAAATGTACTTCCTGCGCCAAATCTTTTTCCACCGAATCCATGTTGACCCGTCACATGGCGCGCGACCATCGCTACCATTGTCACGTGTGCCCTGTCAAACTGCGTCGTTCACATGCCCTTACCGCCCACATGAGACAGGTCCACCCAGGCATTCTTGCCTACCCATGTTCCCTCTGCGATAAGAAATTCAAGAGCAGCAAGGCCCGGGCTGCCCACATGATCACGCGGCATGAGGAAGGCGAGAAAAAATTCCCCTGTGCCAAGTGTGATAAGCGTTTCTGCCGCGTGGAAAATTTGGAGAGACATTTGGAATTGCACGAGGTCGAGGGGGTCAAACCGATCGTGTGTGACGTGTGCGATGATCGATTTGAGGACGACGAGCGGTTGAGAAAACACATGGATAGGCATAATGCGGTCACGTGTCACTTGTGTGGAGTTGTGTGTACTACTAAATGGGGGATGGACAGGTGCATATTTTTTATCATTGGGCGTACTCACGACAAAACAGCTTATTTAACATTTAGGAAAGGCTGGTCATTTATGTAGGAAATTTGCAACCCCCAAAAAATCTGTGTTATTAGGGGATTCGCAAAATAAGATTTAAAGCAAAGCTCCAAAATCTCTCCTATTTCCCAATTTTGATTTAGGATCCTTAGTTGTAACGACTTTTAAAATAATTGAGGAGATGAGTGTAGTAAATTTTGCTAACGGACGGACGGACAAAACAATCACAAGAAGTAGATGACTTCATCAAAAAATACCCAGTTGCTGGATAAATTAACAAAAAAATGATTATTATTGAAATAAGTTTTGCGACATCGATATTTCTTAAGTCGTGTTAGATATTTGCGAGGTTGTCCTGAGTACAAACAATCTTAATTATTGCCATTTTTATGCACATTTACATTTATTTTATTTAATTAATTATTTTTTTATCTCCCAGACACATGCGCATCCACACTGGTGAAAAACCGGAGAAATGTGACCAGTGCGGGGCATCCTTCATCGATAAGACGAGCCTAAAAAATCACATCGCGAAGGAGCACTCGTCCAAGAAGCATGTCTGTCACATTTGTGGGAGAGGCTTCTACCTCCCAGTCTCCCTCAGGGTAATACAGTTGATTTAAATTAGATATTTGTATTAATGGCGACTTATTCAATTATTTCGGTCGTTAATTATGTATTTTGGTGCATATGTCCGTAGCGTCACATTGATTTGCACGAGGGCCGTTTTCCCTACGAGTGCGAACCCTGCGGAGAAAAATTCCGTATGAATAGCACCTTCCAATCCCATAAGGTCAAAGTTCATGGGGCAGACCCCTTCGTTTGCGACGTGTGGTAATTTTCTTCCTGGTGTTTATCATCATTCTATGCGAAAAACATAAACATTTCTAATTGTTTGAAATTAATTATCTATGTATGTAGCGGATCAACTTTTACATGCGCGAAAAGACTTCGTGAGCACAAGCTGACTCACGGAGGAATAAAACGACACCAATGTGAAGTAAGATTATTACTGAATTTGAATTAATTAATAACATAGTTCGTAATTCATGTCAACCTGCGTAATTGTGTAAAAACTAGGAAAGGAACGTTTGTAGCCACTTTTCAATTCTATCTACGATTACGCAGGTTTTATAAAATTGAAATGAATTGCATTCAATAACATATGCGCAGATTTGCCATTCATGTCAATTTGTGTATTCCAGTAAACTTTGAAAGTTTGAATTTCACAAATCTTTAAAATTTTACGAAACATTTAAAAAATAATAATTTCCTCTCAAATTTATAGATTGCATCAGGCTTTAAACCTTGGTCGGGCATTCGCCTATCTCGCAATGTTTCTTGCCCGGGCACAGGATACCCCTGCCCGACCAAGGTTTATTCTCAGGATTGGATACGTTTTATGAAATTAACATGAACTCTTTTACCTTGTTGTAATCCATTTTCTTTTAAAATATACAGATCTGTGGCGCCTGCTTTCTCCGAAAATTTCAGCTGGATGCTCACCTACGGGTTCACACGAACGAGCGCCCCTTCCCCTGCCCCCACTGCGACAAGGCGTTCAAACAGAGTAAAGCCCTGACTGTGCATGTCCTCCGGTTGCACACGCCCGGCTACGTCGCCCCGATCCGGTACCCGTGTCCCCACTGCGACAAGGGCTACACCCACAATCACTATCTCCAAGCGCACATTCGCCAAGTGCACACGGGGGAGCGGCCCTTTGTCTGCGACCAGATCGGATGTGGGAAAGGGTTCGCTAAAAAAACGTCGCTCTACTTGCACCTGAAGGGACATCATGGTCTCATCATGGAGAAGAAGATAGACAGACTACCACCGGGGAAGAGGAGGTTCCCCAGACGTACATGAATGTAGAGGGAAGTATGGACAAATAATAATTTAACTGGAATACGATAATTCCCAATGTAAAACTATTTATGCAACTAATGCGATACACAGTTATTGTTCTTATGTATGAAGAGAAGAGAAGTATGCACTCTTAAAAATAATGGTACCCTTTCAAAAAGTAAATCCGCTCTCAATTCCATAGTAAACTATATGTATTAAATCCAGAGTTAAGTTAACTTGACAAGGAGTGAGTAAAGTTTACGCTGTATTACATAGAATACAGCGTACATACAATACAATATACAATATAGAGTGCATGTACTTTTCAGAAGGGTTCCATCATTTTTAAGAAGGGTTATTTTTAATCCACCAGACTTTTAATTGAAATCACATAACTAAATATATTGAAATCGCATAACTTGAATTTACAGTGCTTTAATTCGATTAAAAAACTGTAAAATTGAAATCTGTCATACTTTTCAAAATCACACATTTTATTCAATTAAGCGGCAGGTTACACATGGTTAAACTTTGCATGTAACACAATGCCCCACATCCCCACAAAAGGTGGACTCTTCCACCGGGAAACTCAAAATATCCTGAGTTTCTCGTGCTTGTCTGTTTATCAATCGAGCTACTCTCCAAGTCTCCACCGGTTTATCAAATGAATATTCGTTAAAAATAATTAAAATCGAAATCTGGGAGTGTAACGTCAAACTGTTTTCTTCACGATAACATGAACCCGTCTGACAAGGGACACTCACGACCTGTCGTTTGAGTCCAGGGTACCCACTATGTTTTCTAGAATCTACTAGGACCCCACATGAAGGATTCATTCATATTTCCGTGTAAAACTCATTTTTGGCGTCGTGCCGTGGCGCCAAACTTAAAAATTTGCATTTTCGACCAACTTCAAACCCCCATAACTTTTGCAGTTTATGTCGGATTTTCAAAATTTTATGCTTAAAATGATCACAAAAGTCGAAATTTTTGACAAAAAAATAAAAATAAAAAATTTCTAATTTTTGAAATATTTTTAGCATTTTTTCGACGAACCCCCATTTCTAAGAAAATTACGAAATTTTGCGAAAAGTTAAAAGCGATAATTTCGGAAAAAATTTCATGTGATAAGAAAGTTGAACTCCTTCTCATGATTTTTGCCAAAAAATTTTGAAAATCCGTCTAGAATTTCAAAAGTTATGGAGGTTTAAAAAATAAAAACATTCAAATTTGGCGAATTTGGCGCCACCGCACGACGCCAAATATGAGTTTTACACGGAAATATGAATGAATCCTTCATGTGGGGTCCTAGTAGATTCTAAAAAACATAGTGGGTACCCTGGACTCAAACGACAGGTCGTGAGTGTCCCTTGTGAGTTGGAGTTTCTCGCTGAAAAGGAGATTGTCGAAATTGTGCCAGAGTTCACATTGAGCACCATTTGTTCAATGGAAGGAAAGTTGGGGTTCTTTAAGGGCGTTCTCGTTCGAGCCCCTCTGGCCCTTGACTTTCGACGACGAGAGCGCTGCAACTTCGTCCCACCCGACTGGAACCAGGCGTTGGAGGCAATCAAAAAGGAAGAAAAAACCAACCAACTCTTCCCTAAAATTCCCAAACGAGCATTATATGACAGTTACGGTGATCAGGTATGAATATAAATTACTGATTGTTTATTAATGCTTGTTATTATTAGTGAAAATGACTCAAATTATGGAACTACATATATTTTTTTGCAGGTGTTATCGAGTTTTTAACCAGCCGTAATCCTGAACCTGTGAAAGAGTGTGTCTATGCCATGTTCCGGCTTATCCAAATTATTGTGGATTCACCATCTGCAGCAAAAATATTGTCGGCAGAGAACATGGCATTGTGGAAGCTGTACATTCATCAAGAAAATTGTTCAAACATTTTTAAACGTTAAGTTATGAATTATTCTTAAACAATCGTTAGATTGATATACATGTTTAAATCTTCTTTATTTCTGTATTGCGAATGTACTACCAAAAATACCTATTGCGTGAGTGAGTAATTGCAACATGTGGAAAATTAAATTTATTACTGATTGCTAATTATCTTAAATAAAGCAGATATATTTCAACCATTACCAGAAGAAATCATTTATCTCAAACATTTTACATAACATTTATCGTTTTCTGAAATAATTAACTATTTTTCTTTGGTTTCTTGACTTGACTTGTAAATGTGTTCCTTGTGCTTGTAATATTTAACCAAGGAGCAATTTTGGACATTGATTGAGCGCATATTCATAATTAAGAAATATATTTGGCGTCATTTAGAATCCATTCCAAATGACCACCTGGATTATCGACGCGTCCAGTGGGAAAATCTTGACAATTTTGCACTTTCTATCGATTATTATGGATTCGAATTAAAATGGTCACATAACTAAAATAGTTAATTTCGTACGATGACCCACCTCTAAAATGTCCCATTTTTCTTGCATTTTCTCGCACAAATAAGAATTATAGTAATCATCAGAGAGGAGGGTTACCAGGAATTTTGCAGGGACGGCCATCGTCAAACTTCAATCTTATATAGGTTTTGTTGTGGTGCAAAGATCTTTCACTCAAGAAAAAGTCCAAGTTTGCCAGCAATCAGAACCAAGAATTGTGCAGTGGTGTGTGTTACCAGTTGAACTTGGCGCTTGGTTACACACGTGTCTCACATTGTCCAAGCTAATGTCACCTAGCGGCAGGTGGGGCACTATGTTACATTTTTCGTTTCTAGAGGGCGTTTTTCGCTAAAGTGTCAAAACGTTGACGAACACGAGAACAACGAAACACACCCTTTAGATCTGCCGAGACTTGATCAAATGAACGGGCACACCCCCTAAACTTGACATTTGACCTGTGACCTGGGCACACCCACCAGACTTGACATTTGACCTGTGACCTTGGCACACCCACTAGATTTGACATTTGACCTGTGACCTGGGCACACCCACCAGACTTGACATTTGACCTGTGACCTTGGCACACCCACTAGATTTGACATTTGACCTGTGACCTTGGCACACCCACTAGATTTGACATTTGACCTGTGACCTTGGCACACCCACTAGATTTGACATTTGACCTGTGACCTTGGCACACACCCCTGGACTTGACATTTGACCTGCGACCTGCGTACAACCCATAAAGTTGACACTTTACAGAGTTGACACTTGACCTGTGGCTGTGGCTTGGGCACACATATCATACTTGACCTGGGACCTCGGCACACCCGCTACACTTGACCTGTGACCTGGGCACACCCGCTACACTTGACCTGTGACCTCGGCACACCCGCTACACTTGACCTGTGACCTGGGCACACCCACTACACTTGACCTGTGACCTGGGCACACCCACTAGATTTGACATTTCACCTGTGACCTGGGCACACCCACTAGATTTGACATTTCACCTGTGACCTGGGCACACCCACTAGATTTGACGTTTCACCTGTGACCTGGGCACATCCACTATACTTGACCTGTGACCTCTGTGCCCCACGGCAAAGTTGACACTTGACCTGTGCCTTACTAATTTTAATTACCTACCAGCGCCACCTATCGGATGTTGGCTGTTTTTCAGCGCTAGAGGGCGGGCTTTTGGTTTAAGTGCCTAAACGTACTTAAAACGTTAGAACAATGCCATACTTCAGAGTTGTGACCTAACGTTTTTCGTGGTAACCCCCTTTAGAGTCGTGACCTAACGTTTTTCGAGGTCACCCCCTTTAGAGTCGTGACCTAACATTTTTCGTGGACACCCCCTTTAGAATCGCAACTGAACGTTTTTCATGGTCACCCCCTTTAGAGTTGTGACCTAACGTTTTTCGTGGTCACCCCTTTTAGAGTCGTGACCTAACGTTTTTCGTGGTCACCCCCTTTAGAGTCGTGACCTAACGTTTTTCGAGGTCATCCCCCTTTAGAGTCGTGACTGAACGTTTTTCGTGGCCACCCCCTTTAGAGTCGTGACCTAATGTTTTTCGTGGTCAACCCATAGAGTCGTGACCGGGCGTTTTTCGTGGTTACCACCTTTAGAGTCGTAACTAAACGAATTTCGTGGTCACACCGATAGAGTCGTGACTTAACGTTTTTCGTGGCCACCCCCTTTAGAGTCGTGACTGAACGTTTTTCGTGGCCACCCCCTTTAGAGTCGTGACTGAACGTTTTTCGTGGCCACCCCCTTTAGAGTCGTGACTGAACGTTTTTCGTGGCCACCCCCTTTAGAGTCGTGAAGAACGTTTTTCGTGGCCACCCCCTTTAGAGTCGTGACTGAACGTTTTTCGTGGCCACCCCCTTTAGAGTCGTGACTGAACGTTTTTCGTGGTCACACTCAATTACAGTCGTGACAACGTTTTTCGTGGACACACCCAATTAGAGTCGTGACAACGTTTTTCGTGGTCACGCCCATAGGGTCGTGAGTGAACGTTTTTCGTAATAAAATAATAAAATCGTTTTGCTTAGAGCCCGCACTGCGGGCTTAAGAGACTAGTTTTACATAAATTGTTGTTCTTCATAAGAACAAAATCACACAATTGCCACACATTTTTAGTAGCAAGTCGCCCCCTTTTCTTGCAAAACATGAAATTATTAATCTTCAAAATTGTTCAGCAGGGTCAATTTTGCATGAAATTGAAACCTAATTTTTTTGAAACAACCGTAATTTCAAGGTTTGCATAGTTCTCTAAAAAATCATGATTTTTGAGATAAATTGACAATTTCCAAATCCACAAGCAACTCAATTGAACTTGTAATCTCCTAACTATGCAAACCTTGAAATTACGGTTGTTTTAAAAAAATGAGGTTTCAATTTCATGCAAAATTGACCCTGCTGAACATTTTTGAAATTTTAACATTGCGTGCAAATGAGGGTGGACGAGTCCACCTTGGGAAGGGGTAACGGGAGCCCAAAAAAGTCACGTGATCCAAGGGCACGTTAAAACAATTTTCCTCTAGAAATTGAAGGAAAACTTGGGTTATTTCTTACAAATCTTTTATAAATAATTTTAGTCGACAAGTGGTGCCCTTATGGCCTTCACAGGGCGAGCCCTAATGCACCTTGTCCCAACAGGAACGGTCCCGGCTTCATCACTGCACTGACAGTGGACAGTGAAATGTTGCAAGTCTTCTTACACATTTTGTTATTGTGTTGAATAACATTTTCGCTTTTAAGTGCACAGGGGGTTATGTAGTAAGCAACGGTACCCGGGCACGTTTTCTTACTTTTTAAAATAGCCTTTTTTTGTCTATGCTCAAGTTAAAAGATTCGTTTGCAGCTGGAGGGAAAATGTTTGTGAAGTTGCAAATATTTTGCAATCTAACGAGACATGATTTCTGTCAAGCGGTCACAATTGTTACGAATAGCTCGTCAAGTGAGAGGTGTTTTCTAAAGCGGTATCATCGGCTTGTAAAAATTTACTTTGACAAATCATTGAGGGTAGTCGACATGAATAAACGAAAC